CCATTTGTATCAAAAATGAGTTTTTGGATAGTATTTCTAATGAAAACGTCCAAGTAGAGGATATTTAGAAATGCCTCTAAGCCGCAAACCACACTGTTGAGTATACGAACCGTCCGCTAGAAAACTCGGATATTTTTATTCCTAAGACTAACTAAAGAAAACTTACTATAGCAGGTTAACTCTTTCAAATGTGTTTTAATAAGATATTCAGCGTAATAATTTCTGTATACATTAAAATCTTTCAAGGAAATTTCACAGTTAACTTGGAGAGTTTTGACAATTTTTTTAAAAATTACCCTGAAAATAAACAATGCATTTTGACTGGACATGAAAGTACTAACCTTTTTCTTTAATGTGGATTATCTTCTGTCAGAGTTGATTACTTCCAGCATCTGTTATAAGGTGCCGAATGCAAAAAAGTGGCCATGTACATGGCCCTTTTTTGAAGTACTTCTTATTCTTCTCTCTGTCCCGTTTCTAAACAACACATAACCGGAACTTACATTTTACAAAACGGTACATTTATACATGACTTACATGTAATAAGGCCTATTTTACATTACATTCGCGTTAAAAAATGCTGTCACTTAGGTTATTCCCCAAGGTGAGTGATGCAGTTTAAACAAAAGGCGATAAAACTTTTCTTTACTGCATTTGTGCGAAAAAAAACTTCACAGGTTAGCTTAACGTAAGTGGTAAAACTTAAATCGTTCGATGTATTTGAAAAGAAAGGCGATTCATTTACCTGGTTTCACTTGAATCTGAAAAGGCTTTCACAGAATTAAATCCACTTAATGAATCAAAATAATATGACCAAATATATGCAAAAGTACCAAGTCAAATTTCTTTATGAAAGGTTCACGGTCTTTAGCGATTACTGTACACCTTATACCATTGGCTTGTTACTGTGACAACATACTCCATGAACGAGGTTTGTTCTCAGAATTGCGTTATTAAACTGGGTCACTTCTTATTTCATTGAATGCAGATCCATATCTGAAGCTTTCATCATTCTCCTTATAACTTGTTACTGAGATATCAAAAGTAGTAGCGAATTTAATCCATTTTTCGCTTTTCTACTCCTGTCATGTGACAGAGTAATCGTTATTAGTGCCGCGACGTGCAAGCACACAAAAAACGGTCAACTTTTCCTATTTTTTGAATATTCACACCGCAGGCATTTCTAGTCTTGC